GAATGCTTCTTGAATTATTATATTTTCTGCATGTAAAGCAGTAACACAGAAGCCAGACTGTAAGATAGTATGTTCAGTATGCCATAATCAGATGAGACCAAATGTGTTCTTAGCAAAACTCTATTAATTTTGGTGGGCTTACAGGAGAGAAAAGCACAGACCATTGACATTAGGTGGAAAACTTTTCCTGGATAGAGAGCTGCAATATCTCTATAGGTAATACTGATGTGATTGTTCTGTGTCTTGGAGGCACAGTCATTACAATTAATGGAGTGAGTCAGCATGATATACAGCACTTTGCTGTATGTCTTTTTTCATTTAGTAGGCTTATACTACGTTTTTACGTGCACTATTTCTGTTCAAGAGTAATAGCCATGTTTTCCATGCTCTCACTGCTCAGTGTGCAGTCCCTGAACTGAATAGTGGAGTGTTTCTAAGGAAATAACATTACCCAGGACAGTAACTGCTAACCAAACAGTACAGGTGGATGTGATTTGCTGCTGACCAAGTCTCACTTGAACTGTTTGGCATACCTCTAAATTAACTGAACAGATGGACTTTTAATTAGTTCTGTCATTTCATTTTCTGCATTCTTAATATATGTCAAGCCGTATGTCAGGGAGTATTAGCATCAATTCCAAGTGACACAAAAACAGTCATAGCAAGAATAAGCTGATAATAACAATAACAAAACATAATTAGAGTACAAATTGGGAGGTCTGTAGCTTTACAAACGCGGTAAACCTAGATTTATGAGACTTCAGAGATTTGTTTAAAATGAAAAATGCATGAAACTTGCTGCAAGCCAATTAGTTCTGTGCAGACATAGAGCAGGATTTTCTAGCTTTCAGTTAGTGGGATGAGCCTTGCTCATGTGACTTGGCTGTGAAGAGCTGGTGAATTTGTGCAATTGATTTATGGGGTTTCACCTGCCCCAAAGAGCATGAGCACTTGCCCGGGCACTAAAGTGCCTTTTAGCTTCGGAGACAGTAGTAAAAAATTTAGTTATTCTTTCCTTTAGACCAAAGTGATATTTGCCCAAATGCAAAATCCTTTCTTTGCAATTTGCAGCCTGGCTAGTTGGACTGTTTTCAAGAGTAAGGTAGCAGCAAAATCTACTCCAAGTGTAGTAATACTGCAGCAACAGTTGCACTACTATATACAATTTAGTGATTTCTGCGCACAGATAAAGCAACAAAATATTACATACTTGTTTTATTAAGACAGTCTTTCAGAATACTAATGATGTTTATATGATGGTAGTTAATGACACAAAGTGCAATCTACATAAAAACAAATTCCACACAACTGTATAGAATTATGATGTTGCACTGTTCATATAGTTTAAACTACAAAGATTGGTTTTTATGCATTTGTAATTTTTCATGGCAAGCTATGATAAAAATACTAATTTCCTCCAGATTTATCTCTGTAAGGAATACCTTAGAATTGTGGCAGGCCCTACATCACAAGTAGGTACAACATCTAAGATAAAGCAAATAACTTTAATCATAGATATCCAAAACATCTTCCTCTTTGGATCTGCAGAAAATAGCTAACATGTAAACAGTCCTAATTAGTGCAATAATGTTTCCAGCAGCAGGATCCTAGAGAAATTAAATAGAAGGCACCTCATCAAGGGGATGTAATGATGCCTGGTAGAATCTCCATCCCTTGGCACTTTTCAACAATATTGCGCAATATGAGCATGGTGGGAACTGTTTTATTTAATATACAACATTAAGACTCTCATGACTCATGTTAATTTAGGAATAACTTTTGATGGCTTCCAATTATCTGGTTAAAACCAACACAGAAAATTGTTGGCTTTTTCCAAAGAATAAGGAAAATATTTTAAGCCTGAATGACTTTATGCAGGTTCCAGCTATTACCTGGATTTCTTATTCAGTCTTAGCCCACTTGCTGTCCTTTGAGCCAAATCTCTGCTTCTCATGAAATGCAATTGCCAGAAACAAGAGATTCTCTTTGCAAAGCAGGCCATACGCTGGCTACTAGGAAATGCTGGTTTAAAATCAGAATTGGGGGAAACACCTAGGTCTTTCCTGGGGCTAATCATAAGGGTACTGGCTCTTCTGTGGTGGGTTTTTTTGCACGACCTCTTTTGCTATGGCCATAGTCAACATCCTGAATATGCTGCAGCCAGCTTTTTGGTTTTGTGAGATGTTTTGTTTCAAACAACAGCACTTTGCAGATTTTGAAAAACTTACATGTGGAAATTTTCCAGTCAAATCTGAGGCTGAATAACCTTAGCTGATGCTTTGTATTGTCAGAGGACATATCTGGCAGTCTTTGAACATAGGAGGGGTATGCTGACCCAGCCCTGAGTATTTCACACATATTCGTGCTGTGATAGATGAGAGCCTTGTGCACAGCTTACCTTTACCCAGTTGAACAGTCCTAGGGAAGTCTTTTCAGGATAGGGACTATTTCATAGCTGATGCTTTAACCTACAGTGGCAGTGCAGGATCTTGTCTTCATCAGCTTTGCTGCCCAGAGGGTTTGACAGATTGATCTGTACCTGCAGGTGAGTGGGCGCGGGTGTTTCTGCTCTGCCTCCTCTGCAAGGAGCGCACTGTACCTCTGCAGTACTTTTCAGTCTGCAAGGTATCCAGAGTCATCTGAGAGAACCAGTCAGCCTGACCTCCTCCTGGGCAGATAAATGAATGTTGCTGTTTTAATGAGGTTTGGAATTTGTATGCTTTGAGGGGAGAGGCAGTGTTAGGGAAACTGTCTTTGGCTGTAAGCAAAACTAATGCTGAAAAGGAATAGTTAGAGTCCTCATATTAGAGCAACAGGCAGGACTTCAGTGTAGCCCTGCTATCACCTCCACCCAGCCTGTTCTTGTACTGTCTGTTTGCCTTTGATAATACAGAGATGACAATGAACTCATTTATAACATCCATTGCGATCCAATATCGTTGTATAAAAGTCAGCTAATATTTATTTTTACAAGAATAAAAGATTTGTGTATACAAAGACTATAGGACATCAAATAATATTAACACCAGCCAGGTTCAAACCAAAGATTTGCCCTGTTACACAGCCTATGGTTGAGCTCTGGAACACCTGGCCACAGGGTGCAATGGATCCTAAAGTTCTCAAAGTTTGAAAAGGAAATGGGTGTGTTACTGACAAGACACTAGTTAAGGTTATTAAATATTAAAAGAATCATCTCTGCTTCAGGTATCACCTGAGGTTAGGAGACGATGCTAAGCCAGTGTTGCTATGTTGCCTCTCTTAATTATTCTGTGGGCATGAGTTATTAGCACGTGATAGGAGGCAGGTGCTAGGCTACACAGACCTTTTAGTATGGACTTTCTTATATTTTTATGTGTTCTCATGATCACTGATTTCCAAAAGAAAATTTTAGGGCAGGGAATCCTTTTGTCTTGTCAAAAGAAGGAAAAATTTGGAGAACGAGCGAACAAAAATCCTTGCAAGAGCGTGCAGCCTCTCTCTTCTCACAATCTATTCAACTGTGAGAGCAAAAAGACAACCAGATGTTGTGAAACAGAAAGTAAAAGTGAAGAAGAGACAACAGGCACTGGAGCTGCATGCTTGCTTCAAATTCTCAATACAGTCAAAATTGTTCTCATCAGCCTGATAGCTAGGACCCTTGATGGAAACAGAAGACTACTTCAGTTGTGACTAACGGGTTACTGAGGTAGCAGCCAGACTTATCACCTCAGTAAAGTGCACATTGCTGGGAAGACCTGCTCCACATTATTTGTGTAACATAAAAGCAGATTCTGAATAATTGTGTTGTGCTAGGCTCAACATCATGTTTGTAATGGTCCGAGGCCGGAGTGAGTGGAAAGATATTTCAAAATATTTTGTAGCAGTAGGGAGGAAGATCCTTATGGGCCAATAAATACTGGATGAAGGAAATGTAGGTTCATCAATGCAAATCTGAATAAATAGGCTTGCTTCATTCTGCGGCTGTTCTTTAACTGTATTATTTGTTGTTTGTGGCAACTGCAAGATACTGTTGAAAATGCTCATGAGCTCTGGATGATTCACAATTCCTTTGTGTAGGTGTTTTTTCATCAAATGGTTCTTGCCAGAGGTGTATTATTTGTTATTAATTCAGTATTTGCTATTTATTGCTTTGTTGTCTTCTGTTTTTAAAGTTTCAGGAAGCACAGATAGTGTCTAGTAACCTAGGACTAGTTATGAACCATGAAGAGCAAGTAGATAAAATGGTACAGTATGCTGACATCAAAAATAGTATGTCTGAACTAGTAAACGAATATCTTTCATTAAGGAATATGTTAATAAAAAAGAATACTTGCTCATAAACAGTTTGAAGCAGAAAAAAAAAACTGATTCTCAATCAATAAACATTCACCTGGTTTTAATTAAATACTCTTACGAAATTATTTTCTTGTTAGAGGTCCTGGAAGACAGTGTTCATGAAAACAAATGTGCTTAGCACGGAGAATAAACAAGTTAGACATGCACACGTCTGCAGGGCTATGATCTTACTGGCATCACGGAGACATGGTGGGATGGTTCCTGTGACTGGAGTGTTGGAATGGAAGAGAAGGAAGGGGTGTTGCCACCTATGTCAGTGACCAGCTGGATGGTGCAGAGCTCCACCTAGGGATGCATGAGGAGCTGACCAAGATCTTAGGGGTCAAGATTAAAGGAAGGGTGGGGACAGGTGGCACTACACTGGGGGTTTGATACAGGCCACCTGACCAGATAGACGAAGAGATGAGGCTCTCTATAGACAGGTAGGAGCAGCCTCATATTCACAAGCCCTGGTCCTCGCGGGGGACTTCAACCACCCTGATATCTGTTGGATGGACCACACAGCAGGATATAAGCAATCCAAAAGGTTCCTGGAATGTGTTGATGATAACTTCCTTCTCCAAGGGGCAGAGGACCTAATGAGGAGGGGTGCTATGCTGGGCCTTGTTCTCACCAACCAGGTGGGGCTGGTGGGGAATGTGAAGCTGGAGGGCACGGAGAATGGAGGGACTGGGAGAATGAAAACCTGCCTGCACTAGTTAACATTAGATTCTATCCTTTGCAGGTGGACTGATGTTTCTTTTTCTGTTCCTTCCTACTCTCTAGTCAGTGACAGGACTTTGGTTCCTCACACAAAGCACTAACATGACATAAAAAACACTTTGCTGAAGAAGTGTATTTTCGTCTCTTCTATCCTGTGTCCTCCCCCTCCAAAACAGCATGTAGCGAGATGTCCTCACTTTCTTGAAACAGGCCAAGCTTCAAAAAACCTCAAATGTGAAGCACTGCAACTGGGCAATTCTAAGGCTGTCACTAGAGAGCAGCACAAGTGAAGTCGTAGACAGAAAGTGATGTTGTGCCAGTTTTTGAACAAACTGTCAAATTACAAGAACACAGGTAATGAAAGTTCTACCTCCAGCAAAGAATGAGAAGCAAGAGACCTCAGGATGCATTGATTCTGATTCCTGACTTTTCTCTCTGCTCAGTTTCAAGCAGACGGTGAAGTATCACGGATATCTAAACCAGCTTATAAAAACCTGATCTTTCAGTCCTGTGATTAATAATCTCTCAGCTTCCATGCACATCCAGTTAACATCACTGTGGGAGGTGCTGATAAGCATCTTTTGCCTTTCACCCGCCTTGGTGATGAATGCTAGAAAATTCTTTGACTTTGAATGTATTTCTGCCATGTAAGACAAATGGTAATGAGAAGTTAAATTCTCCCTCCAGTGAAGAATCAGTCTTCCTGCGCATACTTAGAAAATCTCTTTTCTCTAGTAAATCTTTCATTTAGAGACTACCTTTGTGCTCCAATAGAAAATGATAAGGCTGCGGGTCACCTTGGGAACCTGCCCTTCAGAAAGAGAATGATTTTTTACAAACATGTGCTTTAAATTAGTTTTGCTGTGACAAAGTGGAGAAGCAGAGGTGCTGGCCCCACGAATCTAGCTGCAACGCACTTGTCTCCAAAGTTAGGTATTTGCAAGTTGTGAAGAAGGTGCATCAACTGCCACTGCCTCTTACTTATGCTGTGATAATCTTTTTAACTGGTGGGATGCCAGTGGTGGCAGAGATGCAACTGCTATCAGAAGCAAGAGATTTGTGGAAAGAGAAGTAGAAAAGCAGCGTACTTAGTGTGATGTGGTAGCAAGAGTAAGGTAACACTTTGGGGAGCTATCTGTTCAAGTGGGATCTCCTAAGGGTTGACAGCCTCAGCAAGGATGCAGGAAGATAAAGGGGGATGTGAAGACATCAGATTTCACAATGACCTGCCAGAGCGAGCAATGATTGGTCAACAGGTATTTATTAAACATGTTTTTGTCCACTTGTGTGAACTCTTTCTCTCCTCCAGCAACAGAAACGTGGCAGCAGTGGTATAAACAGAAACCCTTGAATCCAAGAGTGACTATCACCAAGGTATCTGTCATTCTCTTTGTGTAGGAAACATGAACACAGAGATTAGAGGAGGAAGCTAAATATGGCATTAAGTATAACTCTTTAGAGAATGAGATTGTCAGTATGTATATGAGAATAATGTTTCGGAGGGTTCAATTTGAAGCATTATATAGGAAAATACAATATGGAAAATATTAAAACATCCACCCAAGAAAATTTGTGCAATGTTTTTATTATTAACTTCTTTCCCAAAGCTCTTGCAGTTAATGTCAGTCTAACTGTATAAAGGAAAAAAAAAAATAGACATTATTGTAATGTTGAAGTGGTAGGGTATTTTTATGTACGTGTATAGAGAGCCATATTCAGACTGAATTTAAATGGTATACCATAGTCTAAAAGTCATATTAATTGTGTATATTTTAATTATTGTTTTATTGACTCACATTGGCAATAATGTCTTAATAATTCAATAAGCCTCAATTCAGTAGTTCAGTCTTAAATCTTGGACAGCTGGTGGAGATTTTAATAGAATTCAGCGATTTAGTCGATATATGAGAACTGAGATAAGCAAATTAAGATCTACCAGAGATCGGATATAAAATTAGAGACAGCATAATTTTTGATGGGCCATGACCTCAGCAGCTAGGGATTGTCATTTCTCTGTGAAATTAGATTAAGAGATAATGAGGCAATTACCTTGTGAACTTCGAAATGATAAACAAACAGTAATGCTGCAGGACAGGCAAAGCAAGTTATTTCCACAATCAGGAGAACCTGATGAAATTTATCTTTAAATTCCATATAAACTGTTTAAATCTGCATATATTAGTATAAATATAACTAAACTCAAATATGACTTTTTATTCCTCCCAAAGGCATGCACATTTCTTAGTGACACAGATATGAATAAATAAATATATTTATAGCAGATTAACAATTGCAGTCAACCAAGCTGTCGTATGATTTATGTATTGAATTCAGGTGGCCAAGTAATTAACTTTATCATATTTATCTCATTGATATCTGAGATAAGATACACCTTTATGTTTTCCTTAGTTTTCAGTGAAATGACTGCTTTACTTCAGCAGGAAATTAACAGCATCAGAAAGATCTGAATGCCTTTGTACAGTGGCTCTGTGAATATGAAGCTTGTTTGCTTTTTCTTTACCTTGGGCACAAATGTGCAGTCAGCAGATTCATTTTGAGCTTGTCTTGCTGAAATCTAAGGCGTGAGAACGATGCTCTTGTAAAACTCTGATGGACAGGACAACTGGCAAAGTCTGTTATTCCACCCTGGAGGGCAAGAGAAAGATGTTGAGCAAAGGACAGGATAGGCAAGTAAACTGCGTTTTATCCTGTTGTGATTTCAGTAATATAGACTTCATGCATTTTTCACTCTGTGCAGCAGTTGATTTTGATTGACATATTTGTGCCAGTTTTAGACACACTTTTATTGCAAGCAGATTATTTTGGTTGTCTCTGTAGTCACATATGCATTTTCTCTGAGTGTGTAGAAGTCCTCTACTATAGGTGAATGTTTATTTAAATCTTATTTATTGCATTATACATGTACTTAATGAAGTGTGATCTTTCAGTAGGTGCTTATGATAACTATTCCTCCAGCCAGGCAGTAACACATTTGGTGATCACAATTATATTTACTGTCTGGTTCACTCAACTCTGGAGTTATCAAAAAGGTGGGAAGAATTGCATTACCAAAGTGGTAAAAAAAAAAAAAAAATATATATAAAACCTAAATATACTCTATAACGCAATTTCAAACTACAAGGATATCAGTGATAGAAGGCTTATTTCTTTGACTGGGAAAGGTGAGTAGGGTAGGGAAGATAGGGACAGCATTAGAAGTAGAGGAAAAACCTTTATTTGCTTGTTCAAAAACTTCTTGCATATTATAAGCAAAGCAAAACTGAAACTCAGACTACAGGCAGACTAAACAAGATTTCCTCCTCTGAACCTCTTAGGACTCTTACACTGTCTTTTTGAAAGACTTTTATGCTGTGTTACAGACAGTGTCTAGAGGAGATGAATATAAAATGAGGAAGTTCTTATCACTGTTACTAAAACTTACTCAAAACCACAACAAAACCCCCCAGCAAATTCTAATACTGCGTTGCACCACTGCTATTGATTACCTTTGTACTTGTTAGCTATTTTTTATGGGTAGATGCTTCAATCAGTGAAGAGAATGGAAAAAAAAAAATCACTTTTTTTTTTTACTTAGTTTTCCAGTTAGTTTACTTTGTTTACTTACAGTTTCTATCCTGTCATGGTGCTGTACTCACTGGATTGCAAACATTGTGAGGAATCATTCTGATGCAAATGAAGGAATCCTTATTCATTTGCTGAGATGGAACAGACTTTTGGTATTGTTAGATCTTGTAAACTCTAAAAGAAACTTAACTTTGAGAGTAAACCAGCAGTATGCCACCTTACCGGAAGCCATGTGATATATATACTGCTAAGGAACTAAAAATATACAGTAGTTTGGGATATTCATCTTAACAATATTAACCTTTCTCTACAGAGATGTTTCAGTCTGTTCCATCTGCCTATATCCATTTTTATCATACTCATTCCTGTTTCTAAATTGAATTTGGCTCTCTTATTCTAGTTTCTTTTTATTCCTAAACCTAAATATCCATTTAGCTTCCTATGCAAAATTCCCATTTATGTGAAGAGCTCTGTATTACCCCTTAGTTAAGGACAAATGTATCAGATTTATCCCATTACTTTATAATTTCAAGCTACAGTAGGGCATCGCTATTTGTTTCAAAGTTTCAAAAGCAGCTGCCTTCTGTCCAATGAGAAAGTATATTCCATGTATATGGGAACCTGGGTACATAATTTTGACATCCACATGTGTTTCCATCAGCATTTAAATCCTCCTTTTATAGCACAATCCACCTTTTATATACACCACTTCTGTGTTTATAAGCACACAGATGATGATGATAAGGAAATAAATACCACCCCAGTAAATGTTGCTTACCCAACAAACATCTGTATGATGGAGAAGTATTTATATGATTGATGAAAAAAGTTGCTTCAACACTTTTCACAAAGACAGATTTCACTTGATCTGCAGTAGACTGTCTGGAAAATGCTCAGCAGTATCTAGTCTTTGGTGCACAACTCCTGACCTTCATCCTGTGCTGCTTTCTTAACATCACCTTCCTTTCTTGACTTTCCTAACTCTGATGTGCTGAGTATGATTCAATAACAGAATAAAAGGTATTATACTACAGTTTCAAATAACATTTCACAGTGGATAGCTTAAGCTGTGAGTTTACTGTGGAAACAAAAGGAATCTGTTACCTAGCTGGGCAGAAGGGAGGGAAGCTGCACAGTAGCCATGCTCTTCATCTCTTCATTGGCGAAAGAGAGTTTTTTGCTCTCTAAGGGTTCTGCAGATGATGCAAATGAATATAACTCTAACAGATTACACAGAGCTATGCCTGCTTATCCCAGCTGAGAATCTAACCCAGCACTTCATGAGCCAGTTCTTCATGAGCCAGTTGTCTTCTCCCAGGGTTTTCTTTCTTGGCGAGGTTTTGTCATTATCAGTGATGAAAGCACAGTGAAGGAGGAGAGGAGAAGCTGTACAGTTCTTGAAGTACCAACCAAAAGGAGATGAATCCCCAGGGAAGCTACAAATCAGGGAGGGCAAGCTGCCACCAGTGAGGTTGAACTTTTGGCTTGCAGTTTGGAATACATGAATATGGTCTTGACCGAGGAGTTTACAGATCTTATTTACAGGAAACACTCATACTAAATCTTGCACCTTTAAGTGCTTAAAATTCTCACCCTGGGAACCAGATATTTAGGAGAATTGGCCATCTTCATTGCAGTGAAGGTGGAAGTTTTTGCCATCCCTTCCTGATTAAAGTGATGGCCATTCCGATTAGCAACCTCCTGCTCTCAAGTTCATCTGGATATAATAAATGCAACCTCTAGTTAAAGAAATGAAGGGGAAACATTCCTGGGAATTGGACAACACTTTCACTGCTAGTATAAGGCTCTTATGAGGGGAGCAGTATGAGTCACTCACAGGTCCCTTGACAGAAAAGCAGGACCATGAATCTGTGAGGTGTGAAGGGGCTGCCTTATGCCTATGTGGAGGAGATACAAATCTTCCCAGGAAAAAGATGTATTTTCTCACAGAAATATGAAAATGACTAAAAGCAGGTTCACATTTTACTTTTTGGTGCCTGAAGTCTGCATCCCTCAAGGCATCTGACCCCACAGTATCACAGGGGCTGAAAGCTGTTTTGTGCAGTTCCCAATTGGACTTTGATATACTGCTTTTTCTGGTGACTTGGATCATTGGTTTGTTTTGGGGTTTTTTGGTTTGTGTGGGGTTTTGGGGGAAAGAAGGGCTGTGGTTTTTTGGTTGATTGCTTGTTTTTTTTTTTCTAATGAGGTAAACATGTTCCCACCTTCAATGAAACTAGAATGACCCTGTGATGAGCTGGTGTGCAGTATTGAAAGGAGGAAATAAAACCTGGGAGATTTCACAGCATGTCAGTACATACAAAATGAAGATTTCTCTGATTACAAGATAAGGAACAAAAGAAAAGCTACTTAGTTTTTAAATCTATAATATTGATTAAATGATCATAATTAAAGGTTCGTGCTGCAGCAGCTTAGACTCCACAATGTACTGTAGTTGTAGATAAAGGCATACAACAGGCATTTGAAATACTGTCCTAACAAGTAAGTAATACTATAGCAGCTGGCCTTTATTACTTCAAATATTTTCTTTTATATAGCTAAGAATAAACCAAGAAACAAAGGAATAAACAACAGATTAAAATAATCTTTTCATAAACATACCAGTCAGCGTAAGGTAGTCGCAGAACTGAAATAACACTGATCAAATGCTCCCCTCTGCTTCTGCATGGCAACAGTATAAACTCCCTGCCAGGCTCTGAAGTTCCCCACCCAGAGCAGACACATCAGCAGACACTGTGGCTCCACTTGATACATGCTGTAGCAGGTTGAAAGATGTTTTGGAGGGCAAAGGAACACTTTGTGGATGTAATTCTTTGTTTTTAGTTTTTTCTTTTATCCTCTGAAAAGAGAGCAAGCTGTTATTTAGACATTTTAATGGGAAAATCTTTCTACTTTCATAAGAGTAAGTGGAATTAAAAAAATACCCGACTTCCTGTATCAGCACCCTTGGATGTCCCACTTTCCCTTTTTCAGGATACCTTTATGGAAAAGCATGGGGTTTTTCAATCATATCATTTTTTGAAGAAGAGAGCTAAAACCAGTTGAGCTGATACATAGCTCCACATCAGAGAATTTTTCATAAAAAAATTGTCTTTATTTTTGTTGAAGTGCCCTATATTCCTCTTGAAACCAAGGCTTAAAGATTCCTAATTTAAGTTACTCAATGAAAAAGGCATTTCTCAGCTGAAGCACAGAGGCTGACTGATTTTTTTATTTTTTTTCCCTTCTGATTTGGAGAACTGCGTGGTAAGTCTTGCAGAAGGCAGGTGGCTTTGTACCACACACATGCCTGATAAGGCTATCAGATTCTCTAATCTCAAAGAATAGAGGACAGCTCTCAAAATTGGAAGAAAAAAGTATTATTGGCATTGCTTATACTGTATATTTCCACTCCTAATCAATCCTAATATGTCTAAACAGATATATATGAAAAGAACCTATGAAATTTAAATGACTACAGACCAAATCCAAATTAAAATAATTATGGTAACCCCTTATATTTCCTAATAATTAGGAATGATGTATTGCTGTGTATATATTTATAATTACCTTCTTCATGATGGCATTATATATCATTGGCTTGAAATTTTGAAGTGGAATGAAGTAAGATTGGATCTCTTGGTGGGAGAATAACTTCCAAATTGAAAGATGTCTGTCAATGTTTAAAATTTCCATCCACCTAGAATACTTCAGGATGGATCAACTGAAGCATTTTTGTTAAGCTCGAGCTTTTCTTTTGATGTCAACCCTATGAGAAACAAAGGAAAATTTTAAAAATAAAAATTATTTTGCAATTTGAAGTGAAAATTTTTCATTAGTGTACGTTAATCCGCCCTGTGCTTCCTAAGTATGGAAACTTGTTACCCAGGCAAGTGTCCAAAAAGCACACTTGAGAAGTTCAAAACTTTTAGAGAAACAATTTTTTTCTCCAGAACATTTTTCATGGCTGATAAGGATCCCCCAGGGGTATGTGAAAATTAAAGCTGTCCAGAACTGAAGTGATCTCAAATTCTATTCTAACATGGCTGTTTCTAAAGCAGTCTTTATTATGATATTTATGTGCTATATATGTAAATAACTTCATGTACTCTTGCTGGAGGTAGAAATAGAAGCTGTCTATATTAAGGTCTGCCTCTCAAATTCTATTCTAACATAGCTATTCCTAAAACAGTCTTTATTATGACATTTATATGCTATAAATGTAAATAACTTCATGTACTCTTGCTCGAGGTGGAAATAGAAGCTGTCTATATTAAGGCCTCCCTACTACCCTAGATCTGTGATGAACAGTCCTGTTAAAATAAGCAAGAATTCACTAAATCTAGAGCATGTTAATGAGGATGGTAGAAATAGATGCACTGTTGTTTTGCTGACCGGGAGCTTTTCAGGGATTGCTTTGAGGCACTCCATTAGTGTTGCCTCACATG